TAAAAATATTAGTTCAGAAGGGGGTCCAGTTATTTATTATAGTGGAGAAAATTTGACATGAAACGATTATTGCTACCACAGGGAGCGAGCAAAGCAGCAAATTTCATGTATATAGCTAGCAAAATTCTGAATTTTAATCAAAAGATAGACCCAAAATGCAATGCACAAATATCCAAAATGCAATGCACGCAGCTAATACGAAAAATAATTGAACATGAACTTGCCATAAATTTTTGTTATATTCCAATAATGTACATTTTAATAAAAAAGATAATTAACGAGAAAGTGATATAGCAACATTACGTCCAGGGAAAGTTTAGCATATCATAGTTTGTACTAGGTATTTTATACATGGTTTAATTTAGTAAGGAGTTTGTTGGTTTGCCGTGTCAAGTCCGAGTCAAATTCGAGCCTGAGTCAAATGTTCGAGTCACTAGCTGTTTAGCGGTCTTTGTAGTTCATTGACGTAGTACCCTAACCCTATTCCTAACCCAGGGCCGTAGCAATCGCTATTAATTAATTTAATTAATTTAAATTAATCATTCTTTTTCCAAAATCATGCAGAATCATTTAAATAATATACCTTTAAAATACTGACAATTGATTAATTTTAAGCGGCTACATTACCCATGACAAAAAAATATATCTTGCTCTACTAAAATACTAGTGTTGAGCACTTTATTATCTACTACAACAAAACAAGTATATATATATATATATATATATATATATATATATATATATATATATATATATATATATATATATATATATATATATATATATATATATATATATGCCAAATATGTATTTAGAATCATATAATCATCATAATTAACACGTTCTACTATAGGGTCCAATACAACCTCGTTCCCAGGGCTTCAGTGTGAGGACGAGGCAAGACACGAGGAAGCCCTGGTCCGGGCCGGTCAATTTTGCATTCTGATTGGCTAACACCATAATTGTCTAAAAATAACTGAACTTGGCAGTTGACAATAACAATTCAACATTTGTATTTTTTACGATTCTTGTGTGTACGAGTATGTTTTGCAAAATAATCTTTCAAAGTGAGACGTTCTCCCGACTGCATGATTTACTTTCGCCTCTGCCGGTTACAAAACTCAAAAGCCGTGTCGAAGTGAGCTGTGATGTTTCCTGACAAAACAAGAAACGTCTACTATTAATATTCAGCTGTAGTTTTCCTTGTACAGTATTTATTAGTGCAGATGTCTGATGAAATACAACGCGTATTGCATTGTAGTAATATTTTAATTTACAATATTCTGTACTGACAAATAAAAGCAAGACAAACAATTAAATGAAACTACTAAATTAATTTAGGCCCTGTTTACTTAATAGCTCTACGCCTTGGCCGATATAGTCCCTACAAGATTCGTCACGCCACCGAGTTTTACAGTTCCAGAATAATCCGAATACTTGAAAATTGCGACTATACGATAAAATAAAACAAAGATTGTGAAGGGGATAAAATTTGTAGGCAAGCATTGCTCCTGAACGGCAAGTGTTGGTGTCCGGCGAAACAAGCGAATCCGTATATTCCTGTACAGCGTAAACAGGTTACGCGAGGTTTTATATTTGTGTTTATTTATATCGAACGAAGTCAGATCTATAGGAGCATATTTAAACTAAATATTAAAGGCAATAGCCATATTGTTCAAGACGAGAGAAAGAAAATTTCGTGTGAATCACCACTTGCATGGAGACGCCTAGATGCAGCTTGGATGCACTTTGCCTGTGGTTGAAAATCTCCAGAAATATCGGTATATCTTAGAAAACATCGACGGTGTCTTCAGAGATTTCAGCTGATTCGTGCCAAACTTCGCTATACATAAATAATATCGATTGAGAAGTCTTTAGGCTGTTTATTTGTTTCGAAGACTTGTATATTTCATTTAAGAATATCTCGCCACTCCTTGGCGAGTAGCTGTCAAATACTCCCATTTTTGTGTAGTCACGTGACCGGCCCAGACCAGGGCTTTCTTGTCTCTCCCCTCGTCCTCATACGAAAGCCCTGGGAACGAGGTTGGGAATAAACTAGATCCAAATTTCAAAAGTATAAATTCGTTAAGTACCTTTAAAAAACAATACATTTTAAAACTTTTATTCTTTCAACAATGTCTGTAATTATATTGATAAATTTTCATAGCATGAACAAAACTAGGGGCCTAAATTAAAAAGACTGTAAAGGTTTCTGGTAGGTTCCTGGCCTAACATTATTATTAGAAATCTAACTTTATATAAAAAAAATGTACATAGGGAAAACTTTATTTAAAAAAACCCATATAAAACCACCGACACGGCAGTGATGGGCTGCATGGCCTGGTATCAACTGGGCTGATACACAAGTGGCGAGGTCTCGCCTCGTGTATTGATTTTATATGTTCAAGGAGTGTGGAGGTTCAATCTGAGCTTTTCTTGAGTGCCAGTACTGTTTTTTTGAATAGTTAGAGGATTAGTGTCGTACCTTACTTTGTGACTATACTCACCCTCCAGCTATTCAAAAACAGCATTGACAATCAATGGAAGCTCAGATTAAAACTCCAGTCTTTGAGTGTGAGTGCATGAGCTTTCAGAATACAGGCGATAGCTAGCGGTCAGCCCGGCAAACTGGACTGCAGAAATTGTGTCACAACGCGTGCTTTCTCGTCTAAAAATTCGAAACAACTAAGGAATCAACAATAGCATTGCGATCCCGATGAACACCGCGCTGGTATGTCAGGCTAGTCCGCGCCTTAAGTGAAACAAATAGCAACTATATATAATTGGCCCGGCAAGCGAGCCACCCCTTGCAGGCCCAGTTCATATCATATGAACAAGCTCTTATACGCACTGTAACGGTTTTTAAAGGGAAACAAACACAACGCTATCGTATTAATTTTATTTTTTGTGTTCTTTTAGCGAGATGAGAATGCGCTTTGGATATTGCAGAAAACAATATAATTGGGTTTCGTGTATCTCTGACAACAAGAAACGCCATGCATATGCATGGCACTTTGGGAATTGGCAACAAATGTGTCGCTATATACACTCAACATTAGTAAAGTATTATAAAATTAATTTATAGAATTTTTATTTAGGTTTTATTAAGAATTATTTATTAAGAATTTTTTGTTACAGCCTTAATCGTGTTTGCTACATAATGATGTAGCTATATGTAATATCATAATTATGCAAAATATTGCACAGTGTTGGATATGCAATATTGCAATATGTTTTTATTAAAATAATGCAAATCTATGCCATGGCTCATAAACAATGACTGCTACTAATTCAAGCTTAAATTGTAAGTATATACTTATTTTACATTTTCAGTCAGAAAAAAAGCATAGTGTACGGTAGCCGCTATGTCATGCAATATTGTATTTTTTATTTTTTGATATTTCAAAGCATAGAAAAAATTTTATAGCTTCTGAAACAAAGACACAATTAGTGTGCTTTCAAACATTATGTAAATAAGACTTGGATAAAGTATGTGTGGCACACTTGTCTTGGAAAAATTTTCGCTCCATTCATGCATGTTACTATAGTATAATAAGTTAAAAATCAGAAATTTTTGAAATGCTTTAGATATTAAAATTGGCCGATCTACTTGAATATCTGATTGAATGCTCAGGAGTAGCATAAACGGCATATGTTAATTCGATATTTTGTATTGGCTGTCATTGCAGAGCGCCTTATTTGCGACAGCTGCAAAAGCACAAGACAGTATAATGTTCATTCTTCGACCTCGAAGAGTTACTTGGCCGGAACAATTGATTTCGCCAGACTTCCTTGGAAAATATACTGTTAGGTTTCATCTTTTTCTCCGCGTTTGAAACGTCAGTCTCGTTGTTGCATTTTAAAGCAAGAGTTATCAAAGCTGGCGATAATTTTGCCATGGTTCATACATGTTGGAAGTGGATTATCCCAGGGCAACTGGAAAAGGAAGACAGACTACTAAACAATATTCCACCAAATGATTCAAGATCATCGTCGTTTTATTACACGTCTACTATGACGATACAGAAACATAAAAGACATTGGAACTATATTTCATCGTTCAGCAAAAACTTGAGTCGGTCACAGACACATCACATAAACACAGTGCTTTGTTATCCAAAATTATTCCGTTCTAAATTGACTTTGATGCTTGACAACAAACAAGACATATTGCCAGTTACAGTCATTGAAGAGACTGAAGTCACATCAGAGCCACTTGTATATCACTCTGGGATTATTTTGTATCAAAATCAAACGACTCGGTTTGTTACGACAGCAATTTTTACACCTAGCCAACTTGAACTCACATATATATTCAGTTTAAAATTGAATAGTTTTCACAATGGCCACTATTATAATTGCAACAGAAGTAGAGCAGTATTCTGGATATACCGGCGTTAAATTTATATCATTCCAGTTACGTATAGAATTGTACTTCGATATCTAATTGTTTGCAAGGAAAACATTATTTCAGACGATGACACGATGTGTGCGGTGTTAGTGCAATTGATCATGCCGGGATATTACCAAGCAATATATATGAAGTCAATCAAAGCAAGCCTTGAAATTCATCGTATGTGGTTGCCGTTTTTTTCTTGTAGAAAAATTTAGAACTGCACATACAGGAATGTTACGAAGCATTGAGTATTGTTGCAGGACCAGTGTGCACCCCCTTCATCAGCTAGTCGGTAAAATATTGAATCTGTATGCAGTCGGCAAAGCATGGATTTGGATAGGAAGGAAAAAATGTTTGAGTGACACCGATTAAATATTAAGAATGATAGCTAAAATGTGGAGAAATGTACGAAAAAATGAATGCAAAATGGAAAGAACAACGGTAGTTAAATACAAAATATGACTGATAAATATGTTGTCCGAAAAAATGTTAGCGCCGCCCCTGGGTGTTTGACGGGAGTGGAGTGAATGGATACGTAAATTATGATAGATTCCTAATTTACAAAGGTGGCCGAAGTTGGGTAGAAAGTATAGTTGACGACATTTTATAATAATAACTTTATTCATAACAAAATACCAACACACTGGTACATAATGAATACATAACATTGTATTATAAAAATATTAAATTACAAAATCGTTAACTACTATAACTAAACAGGACGTATAAAATACTGTATTATTTTATAGTTGTTCAAAATTAGTCAAGATATCAAAGCAATATTTAGCTACCAAATTATTGATGACTTGTATTTCATTGCAAGAATATACATAAATAAGTTGTGATTATTAAAATAACGAAACGAGTGTTTTTATCTGGTTAAGCTTATATATATAAAAAAACCCTTGATATTAGTAAATTTTGCATTATTGCACAACATGAAGTAATGTTGTTCATTCCTACCTCGTTTAAATTGCAATGCTGACATATTCTTGCATCATATGGTTAATATGGAATATTGGCAATATCGTCCTGTTTCAACAGGTAGTCTATGAGCCGAAATTCTTAAGCTTGGCGATGCTTAACATTGCTAATTTCAGAAATATATTTTTCAAATTCAAAATCAATTTTTAATCTTTTCAATGTTCTTAATTATTTCTTTTTAAATGTTACGAAATAGTCGATATAAATTGCAGTATTAAATTCAACTGTTGACATCTGACTGTGGTAATATATACCTCTTGCCTTGTACCTTGTTTACGCTTCGGTGGAAGGGAAATAATTGATAAAAGTTTCAAACAAAGACCTTTCTTATTGCGGAATACACTATGCAATTTATTCCTTGAACAAAGACAATGTTTTCAAACTTGAGTGTCTGAGATGAGGCGAAAATTAGCAAAGGCTTTCTTAAATCAATGGCCCAGTGGTCTGTTTATATATGGGTGTGAGTTACCCAGACATAAGGAGAAGGACAAGTGGAATTTAATTAAGAAATAGAGAACGAGTCACGTGCGTTTATGTACTATTTAAAAGATGAGCCACGAGCAGCAGTGTTTTATCAGATATAAAGATACGAGGCGAATCCGTGTATCTTTAGGTCTGATAAAACACGCACGGCGAATGTTTTAAATGACTTCAAAATCGCTCTAGTAAGTTCATTGGCGAAGTAATTTTCAAAACATACGTTGTATAAGTCGAGAAAATGATAGAGAAAATCAAAGTTACAGTAGTTTCACGAGATACGCGACCACCTCAAGCAAAAAAAGTTTGAGAGCAATAGTTGTTTTTGACGTTTCTGATTTTGAATTAGTGACCGCCCCTAAATATCAAAAACAACTATTGCTCTCAAACTTTTTGTCTCAAGTAGTCGCGTATCTCGTGAAACTGCTGTAAAGTTTATGTAAATCAAGGGAAATCTTTATCACATATAAAGATACGACACGCTTATGATTTTTCTTTGTGTTTTCCTCATGAATTAGTAATGATGCACGCGGGGAATGTTGGGAGAATACGAGAAACGTGTAACACGCTTCTCGAATATTCTCCCAACTTTCCCCGAGTGCATTATAGTAGTTGTTATCAGAAGAATTGAAGGTTCTTTCTAAATTGCTTATGTATAGTTTCTCAGTGTTGCCTTTTTCTATGTTTTTGGTATTCCTGTATCTTTTTCAAGTTTTTCTCGGCTATTCTTGCGTACTTTTACCCAAAACTTGTCGAGACAACAAATTCGAATGTGAAGAAATGCACGAAAAAATGAGGGCAAAATGGAAGGACAACTGTAATTAACACAAAATACGATTGACAAATATGTTGTCCGACAAAATTTTAGCTCCCCTTCTGGGCGTTTGACGGGGGTGGAGTAATGGATACTTGAAATTATAAGGTGACAGATTATAGTTAAGTTGGGTAGAAAGTAGTTTTTGTGTGTGGGAGGTGCGTGCAAGGCAAATTTCCCTAGAACCATACAAACAGTTACTGAGGAAATTTTCTAGTGATAGCTCGTGTTTTGCTATTGTTATATTACACAGCAAATGCCCTGTCCCAATAAAGCCTTTCAATGGTGGCTATATAACTGTAAGCTGCGACAGGTTCACAACAATGAATACACTTAGTAAGCTTTAGATTAACCCATTTCATAAAACTAAACTTAACCTTTACCGATAAACTTTGAGTTTGAAATAATTTATTTCAAATTCTCGCATGCAAATAACTTTGCTTTCTTTTTTTTTTAATTTAATATAATAAAAAAGGGCAATCAATAAAGATACACTGAAATTATGTGCTGTCTTTTTTCATTATAACCCAACATTTAAAACAAACTTACCTTTATTAATGTGGGCATCTTTGCTCCCTTCTTTTAGCAATTATTTCGCCTTTTTTCTCAAAAAGTTTTTGACATTTACAAAACTTTGCATGACCACCCACGCATGGTAACTCAAGCACGCGATTATTGATGAGCTTCACACTTCGCTAATGCTTTCCCGGAGGTGAATAACCTGGCGGAATTTATACCCTCGCCCGGGGCATACGCCCGAAAAGGCACAATGTTAAGACCCATTTACATTCCACTGTTAAGGTCCATTTACACTACAGAAAATTTTTGCAACGGTTCAGGTAAAAGTGGTTCTGGTATGGCACGGGTTGTTCGTTTACAAACGTTGAATTTTTTCATACGGATCAACCTGCCCAAAATGAAGTTTTATAGGTACGGGTGACAAACTTAATTTATGTTGGCGCGTAATTCTGCGTTTTTCAAAACAATGTGTTGGATGACATGTTTTTCAAGCTTCAGTTGATAAAAAGTGCCTTGGATTGTCCGAAAGCAATTCTCTCTGAACTAACAATCATGACTCGTACCACAGGGCCCCCTCTATCCATGAGTTATGATTGAAATAATATTGTATTTATTTTAAACCTACTTGAATCCCTTGAGAATCGATTATTTCCTCACTCAATCTCTCGAAGTTCTGTAAAGCCTTTTAAACTGCTCGGAGTCATTATACTATCATTGTACATGACGTTTCACGAAGTGTAGATGATCACTGTTCATCCTCCGCCTTCGACTTTTCACGCCCGCGTTCCTTAATTGTCAGCGATCATCTACACTTCGTGGAACGTCATATGTAGAATGAAAATACAATAATTAACTCCGAGCAGTTTAAAAGTTTTATAGAACTTCGAGACAAGAAATAATCGATTATTAAGGGATTCAAGTAAGTTTAAAATAAATGCAATATTATTTCAATCGTCACTGGAATTAACTTGAAAATATTACGTCACTTCCTCTGTCATTAAACATTGCGTCACTTGTTTGCCTCTGTATGTAACATAGCCATATATATAACATACTCCTACTATGTAACATGCTCCTATATGTAACGTTACCATCCCTACTCACGACATCCGTATCTGCCATCTTGAATCTACTATTTTTTCAAAGGTCACAAAACAATATGGCGGAATTCTCTGTCAAAAGTAAGAGGAATTCTTTGTTAAATCTAGGATGAACCAAAACCGTCGAATTGCATATATAGGCATGTTTTTAGAATTGTAAAAGCAAGTTCACAATCTGCGGTCCAGTTAAACTGCTTGTTGCTGGTTTTCGTGGTCAATTTAGTGAAAGGCGCCGAAATCGTTGCATATCCTTAATAAAATGACGGTAGTATCCTGACAACTCTAAAAAACGCAGTGCATTTTTTAAGGATTCTCCAGTGGTGGGGCAAAACAGCCAAAGGGCCCATTTTCCTTGCCCTCTCCCCCGGATAGTATGCGATCGCCGAAGGTGTGAGCAAAGTACCGCAGGCACGAGTTAACTAAGGGGGGTCTGGGGGCATGCCCAATATTTGTATCTCTGGAATAGCATTTCCTGCATTCTGAGAACACTCCACTTATAAAATAGCCTGTTTAATACTGGAGTTCACATTGTAATAAACATTCATCACAAACATTCATTGTGATACAAAATTAATAATTACAATAGAATAATAGTCAAAATAAAACCGATGCAGTGTCAGTTTCTTACTATGCCAACAATAATAGCAATGGTGCAGCCAAGAATATTATTGAGCAACACTTTAATTAATAAATATTTTGCTTTAATAATAAGCATATACAACTAATAATGCGTGATATTAATTTATTGTTTTTCAAAATTTCACTGTACAAAATATAGTAAGAGGTATTGTTAATGCATGTCTAAACAATCAAGTAATTAATTAAGATTTCATTGCAAAGGTTTCTTGTTACAAATATATTCTGGTGGTGTCTGGTTTAAAAGTTACTAGCTTTTTCTTGAATTGCTGGCATTGCAGATTTCATAAAACCTTTAAATTCAAAGTTCTTCATTAATATAATATTTAATACTAGATTTTTAAAAAAAAATTATTTATTGTAAGAACAGCATCGGCCGGAATTTATAATGAACTCATCCAATCGTTATGTCATTACCACTAAAACTTTTGTCTGATAGTAATTGTACTAATGTACTGCCCTGATACTTGCAAATTCCAATCTTCCTATATTATCCAATATTATCACCCGTCACCATATTATCGGCAAATTGTCCAGAATGTGTGTTCTTTTAGTTGTTTGAAGAAAAGTAGATGTTATGCATCACTATGATTTTGAATCGTACTTTTATCTGCTAGTTGTTTAAAAAAACCCAATATATTTAAGGCACTGATCATAAGACTGAATTATTGTAAATGATGCAGGTATAAATTCAAGCAACATTTAACTCTAACTATAAAAGTATAAATATGCCACTCAATCGACACTGCTGTTAACGCCGTTTTCCACTAGACGGAATATTCCGCGTGAAGCTAAATTTTTCTTTGTCTTGTGATCACTCGGATGGAACTAATTAGAAAAGACAAAGAGAAATTCCGCTCCGTGCGGAAAAGTGAAAAACAGCCTTTAATGCTGAAAAGAAGGGTTGAAACTTGTCGATATGATCTCAGCACAATGGCTGTGGGTTTGCTTTTTCATATACTTTTACAACTACAAGGTTCAGTGTTGTATGATGATTACACTGATCTTCAGAGACGTAGCAAAGCATCTGATGTTGGGGGGGGGGGGGCGTTGTCAGAGGATTTTACCTGAAATTTGAACTTCAATGTAAAAAAATTATCTGAAGTGTAATAATTATAATAGAGCTTTTTCTGATTGATTTCTACCGTCATACTAAGTTTCCGAAGAAAAGGGGGGTGTGAGGGTCCTCCCCCAGAAAATCTTGTACATTTGTGAAGCTCCATGACTGCATTTCTGGCATTTTCTAAAGCAAATTCGCAAACAAATTGGATCTAAATTGACTGTATCTTACAAAAATGGTTATCATTTCCGGATCAAAAAGAACAACTTTTTACGCGAATTTTACCTGAACATGTCAAAATTTAAACTTGAATTTTACCCGAGTTTCACAGTTGGGGGTTCACCCCCCCTACTACGTATATCAGGTATTATTTACATCTGGACCAGATATCCCAAAATAAACTGCACTAGAATCACAGGGCCGCAGCTTCGATTCCCGCGAGGGACCTACAGTTGCATTTTTTGCAGCTGTTCATTGTTTGGTCTAATAAATGCAAATACATTTCCACAATTCCACTCAATTATTCCCATTTACAAGGTCCTTCAACTGTACGTAAACAGACTGAGCTTCCATTGCACGGTGTGTAAAATTGTGGTGGGAGATTGCAATTATCAGCAAGATTCTTGAATCCTTTCCTTACAAATGGCTTCTTAACTCCGTCTCAAAAAAAATTGATCCCTTACAATTTGGTTCGCTGAAGGGTTCAAGCACTTGTATGGCATTAATCTACATGCTACATAAATGGTATGAAGCAGCTGACAAACAAGGTGACACTATACGGATTTGTCTACTTGATTTTTCCAACGCGTTTGATCGATTAGATCATAACATTCTTTTGAAAAAATTGAAAGACATGGAAATTCATCCCGTGTTACTCAACTGGATCGCAAACTTTCTAACAGACAGACAACAAAGAACCCGTGTTGGTCAGTTCTTTTCTGAGTGGAAGTTTTTAAACGCCGGCGTTCCACAAGGAACAAGGCTCGGCCCGCTATTGTTTTTGATTATGATCAATGACTTGGCTGTGGCGGATGAAACTGTTAAATTTGTTGATGATACTAGCCTTTGGGAAATATTATCAAACAATTCTCTGTCCCAGTTACCCGCTAACATCATCAGCTGCTCTGAATGGTCATCGGTCAATATTATGAAGTTA